CGGGGACCGCGAGAGCAGGGGGAGATCCAGGAAGGCGAATTTGGCCTTAATGGAAGTTCCGTGTAGTTCGCGCTGAGAATCCCAGGTGCCCTGGGGGCTTCTGGGCCACGTCATTTGAATTTAAGGGGAGCGGTATATGTCCCCTTCTCTCACAGCCTCAGTTACCCAGAGCGAAGGTTCCTAATGACACCTAACTGAGACAGCAACCGAGCCAGGCCCATCTCCTTGGCGGGCCCCTCGCACCCCAAGCCGAGAGGGGGGCCCCTGCCTGAACTGAATCCAGGCGTAGGGTTTGGATTGTAAGAGGACATTTTCTGGTTTCAGTCTCTGGCCTGGTGAAAGCCCTGGGGCTGGAGGGGGCGGGGCACCGTGCCCATGCACCCCCCCCCTGCCCTGCTGTGTTGTCCTCCCTCGCCCCCTCGGGCCTCAGTGACTTAGGGTCAGCCTCTAAGCCCTTCTCTCCCAGCCTCTCCTTTCTCTTCAAGCTCTTCACGCCGCAAAGCCCATGTCTGGCGCGCTCCTCTGTCCTTATCTCCCCACATCTCCGTTCTCTCCTGTGCTCCGCAGAATGTTCTTTTCCCGGCTTCCTCAAGCCTCCCACAGGACAGCCACCACGCCCCCTCAGCCCACGGTCAGCTCACCGTGGCCTGCCCCTGGCCGGCCAGCTGCTCGCCCTGAAGTAAGGTCATGGGGTAAAGGCAGCCTGTGGCCGCGCGGCCGCCCACACTGCAGAGCCCAGGCCCAGGCCCAGGGCCACTCACCAGGTCTCTACCCGGGGAAGGGCTAGGCCAGGGCACCTCGCTTTGGGGGAAAAAACAAAACTGAGATTTTAGAACTGGGAAAACACACGGAGAAAATGCACCGTGGCTATGCCTTTGCAGCAGGCGAAGGAAAAGTGAGACCCCAAACTCTACGCTAAGTAGTTTGTCCCTTGTGTTTAGCATGTGCTTTGCTTGGCAGCGGAGGCAAAATGGGTTTGGGGCCGCACGGAGAGATCTTGACCGTTTCAAGGCCCCACCCCACAGAGAGCATCTAGAGAGAGATTTGTGCCACTCAGATTTGGTGGCAGAGGAGCAATTAAGGCAGAAGGCCCTGGAGCTCCTGGGAGGGGAGCGATAATGAGGAGGAAAGGCCGGACTGGCAGCCAGCGGCAGCGCTGATAATAAGCCTAGCCCCAGGGGTCGTGGCTGGCTGGCAGGCTGCCCCCAGCCCGTCCCTGGCTGCGGCCTCACTGCAGCCCCACGCTGGTCTTCAGGCCCCGGGAGCAGAGCAGGTGGGGCAGGCCCAGGGCAGGCTCCTTCTGGGAGCACAGCCTCTTCCTTCTCAAATTGGCCTTGTCCAACCATGTTTGCTGCCGATTTGGAACAGATTTGGCAGCATCAAAGCGAGATCAGCGCCAAACAGACTTCTTCACTACTGGTGTTCTTTAGTTGATGACCACTGACCACAGGAGGGTTAAAATCACCCACGGGCTGAGGCTGGGCTGCTCTAGGTGTCTTACACTGTGAACCCGCTTGCGCCCATTGCCCAGGCTAGTGCCCTCTCCTTCAGCGGCTCCACTTCCCATGTGGAGAAACTGAGGCAGAGCTTTTAGTGTGAGGTCTGGCCCGGGGCAGGGGCCCTCCTGCTCTCCATTCTGCCACCCCTGAGGTCTCCATGTCTAGGAAAGAGCCGACAGGAACCCCACCGGGCCCGCCCCTCCCCAGAACAGGATCTCGGTGGAATGCGAGAGGCCCACCCAGCCCCGGAGAGGCCCACCCAGCCCCGGCGGGAGGCCGCACTTTTTCTGGTGAATGATGACATCACCGCGCTGAGGCTTGTTTGTTTCAGTGATGTGCATTCTGCCATGGGTCACCCTTCTGTGAAGAGACACACGTCCCTCAACACCAGGGCCTGCTCAGACACTCCCTGCACGAAGCGCCCTCGTAACGCTGGTAAATGAGGCAAAGCCCAGGCAGGTCATTACCGTTATGGTTAAGCAGGCCCCTCCTAACAGCACTGGTTTCCACTCCCTTCGTTAAGCCCACTGCAGCTGCTCAAACGAGGGCTAAGGCCTCAATCCAGGGAGAGGCGCTTAGCGCATTAGAGATAACCTGCTCCGACCGTTTCAGCCCTGAACGCCCCCATTCCTGCATTCTGGTAAACGCGATTGAAAGTCTGGTTGGCCAGACTGGAAGCCACCTAGCCCAGGGACACCACACAGCAGCTGAACTCGTCCACCCTCTCCAGCTCGGAAAGTTCACTCAGAGCGCCTCTGGCCAAGGAAAAGCCACTTTCCATTAAGCAGTGAGGAGCACAGGGCAGGAACGTCCAGGGTCACCCTCCTCTCTCTCTCTCTCTCTCTCTCTCTCTGCCTCTACCTGCTGGAATTCGCTTCCCTGCCCGCGGCGAAGGTCGGCCTTGGGGGAATTTCCTCACCATCGCCCCCAGCTAGGAAGGGCAGGCGGCCATTCAGATGCTAACTGGCCGGCCAGCGAGGGAACAAAGGGCCAGCGGGAGGCTGCCGCCTCGGGCCGCTCGGGAACCGGCCAGAAACCCAGTGGGAAGGGAAGCCAGGTGCAAAGGGCCGGAGCTTCTGGGGTAAAATCCCTTCCCGGCGGGCGGCGGCCCCCACCCTGGCTTCGACGGCGCCTCGGCCGCTGGGAGGCGGTGGGGGAGGGGCGGGGCGCCGTGCTGAGTGGGGCAGGTTTTCCTGATCAGGTAGTTAGCGGGGCAGAGTGGGAAGAGGCGAACTCTTTGTTCCCGGACCCTGCCCGGGAGCGGGCGCCGGCGGCCGGCCTCTGGTTTCCCTTCTCTGCCAGCCTGGTCTGTTCCACGCGGCGGTGGGCCAGTTCCTAGTGAGAACCGGCGCGTCCCTGAGCGTCGCTCCCACGCTGAAAGCACCTCAGAAGCCAACCCTAGCCCTGCCCCCCCCCATGCCTCTCCTTGGGCCCCGCTCTTGGTGCGCTCAGGCTGCCCGGGTGCCGCCAGAGAGAGCCGCAGGGCGCGGAGGGCCGGCCTGCGTGGGGCGGGCGCTGGCGGGCTCCAGCTCCCCAACACAGCACCCCCTTTCCAGCCCGCCGGCGGCCTC